TATAATAAAAAGAGTTTTTTTTTTACAAACAACCTTTTATTTGTGCGTATTAAAACGTAAATAAATAAATTCTACACATTTAAAGTACTTATAATCAAAATTTACTCTAACAGTAATTGACTTAAAAAGCTTTTATCGCGTACAAAATACTTGCATTTCTTCGTCTTTTTATTACATAAAAATAAAAAAAAATTACCAACAAAGTTATCCATAAAATTATTCATACTATAAAAAAAAGACAGTAACATATGTCACAACTACAAAATTATAAATTTTAAATAGCATTAATTTAACTAAAAACAATAGTGTTTCTTTGTTTTATTCGCTATTATGTCGAATTAAAAGTTGTGCCAAGTTATTACAAAATAACAAGGTTTCTTTAGTCAGTAACAAAACACTAACAAGATATTGCTGTTATGAAATTCATAGCTCGAGTTGTTTCATTTATTTTCCTATTTCTGTGCATTGTTGTTAGGTATTTAACAGATCATATAATAAAGTTTTAATTTATTTTTGCATTGACAATTGCATATTGATATTAACCTTTTTCAAGGAGATAGAGGCACTTAAAAATATTCGTCAGGTTCCTGTCCCATCATGGGCAATATAATATTATTTAAAATTGAAGTTATCAGCACTCATTGCTCTAATGCATACTAACTCGGTAGTATTAATTAACCAGATTTAGCGTTAGAGTAAATGTACGCTGAGATTGGACTTAGTATTAGTCAAAATTGAAATGAAATGAAATGAAATGAAAATATCTTTATTCAAGTATTACAAGCACTTTTGAATCGTCCAAAAAACTTTTTTCCCCTACCATTTGTTCAGGACGTCTTTTAGCTGACAAGAAGAACAAGCGAAAGAAACTTATCAGCTTTTTATCATAAGTTCATATTAATTCATATTATATAACAGAAAATTAACAAAGGCTCATCTAGATTTCACGGGAGTAATATTTACTTCTAAGGGGTAGTAGGTTTGCTTATTCTCTGTATGATATGAATTAGGAATAATACTAAAATTGCAATTTAAGTGTAAATTTAATCTGATGCTAAACCTTGTTTATTAATTGCACAGACTGAGTTTAAATTTAAAATCATATTTGAACAAAAAATGAAGTGACATCCTATTTCTTTAGAAATTTAATTTCTAATCTTGCTGTTTTTCGTCGACTACGTGTAATGTATCTCGGAGCATATTAAATGCAAACAAACCAACGATCAAACCTTGTTAGTTGTAATATTAGTGTATTTTGGTAATGACATGATTTATGTTAATATTTATGTAAACTTATGATAAAAATCTGGTAAGTAATTTTACCCGAAACGGATATTTATAAATAATAATTATAAGTTATGTAGATACTTTAATGAATAGAGAAACAAGAGTTCATTTGTACGTAGCTATAAAGTCATTATATTCGCAATTTTCATTTTATTCGTAGCATAGAGCAATGATAAATCGTTATTGGTCTGTGAATTCAGAATGACGTCACTCACTGTCTGTTGAATTCTGCTCACCAAACCCTTTAATTTGAGACCTACGTATTCATGTTTATTATGAAAATCATAGTTTGATATTTTGTGACTTCCGCGATATTGGATTGAAAATGGCCGTATAAAATATAGTCGATATCGATTAAAGTTCAATCGGCTTAAGTTTGAAATTGAGTTTTGACGTTTGTCTCATATTAACTACAAAGTCAACTTAACCGAAAATCGACGTTGCACTATCTACTGCACATGTCGAGTTGGCACCATTTGGACACCATATTGGATATACTTTGTAATTGTTTACTATATAATGTTGTGTTGTTTTTTCTTTCTTTAATTAAATAAATTTAAATACTATTTTTATTATAAATTATTTTAAACCAGAGACCTTTAAAGACAAATCAAAAGTTATCAGCAAGATAAATCATATTCGACGGTGTGGTTTCGTTTAATTGCGGAGGTTCCATTTCTACCAGCTCCAATCATCCTATCCATCCTTCATCAGATGGACTCTATTCAATTTTTATAATGCATTAACGTCAAAATTATATATGCATGAAAAATTTCTGCTCAACTGATAAGCAGGAACTTATATGACAAGCTAAGTTACAGCTTTTAATTTTATTTTTTAATATCGTATGAATATAAGACAGATTTTATTCTTATTAACTCTTTGTTCTGATTAAATTAATGAAAACTTTTGAATTTCAAGGAAAGCTAACGACGTGTGGTCAGTTGTATTGCCCTAACAAATTTAGTGGAATGTCAAAAAAAATTTGACGAGGGTAAACCTGTCGACAACCGTAACTGAAGTCGCGTTAGAAATTTAGTCAGCCGTGTGTTAGTGTTTTTGCAACCACACGAATTATTTAGAGTATACTTTTTAGTCGGTGTATATATACCATAGATACACATAGACTATTCTTTATATATTACTAAAATATTATATATTCTTTATATATTTTTTATAATTGTTTGTAGGTGATAATCTTAAGAAATATTGTACCGATCATCAAAATTCCTTCACCTAAGAGAAGCTATACCATACGGTGACATAGGCTTTAATTAACTTGGGAAAGGTCACGGGAAAACAGCTTATGTGTGCCTAAAACAAAAGCTATGAAATCGAGAGGCCAGACAATGAGTCAGATTAGAATAGATGGTGGCATATCCCGTGTAATAGTGTCTTTAAGATTCTTAATTCTGACTTTATTTGATCATTATTATCACCATTAATGTCCGAACTCCAGGGCCAGAAGGATTCCTTATAGATAGAAGCGATTCGAATAGAAAAGATATTTATTTGATAAAGAGAATATAAATAAGGAGAATAGGGCAAAACCCACCATTCGGGCCCCGAATGGGTGAGTGTAAACGACTGCAGATTACCAAGAATCAATATGTATACGTAAATTATTTACAATTTAGTATAACAAAAAAAAGGAAACAGATAATGGAAATAGAACACTTCTGCCAATACGGTTAGTGAAGAGGTAACATAAATTATAAATACATTTAATGAATTGACCGCCTAAGCAGTTGGAATTTAAATTTTTATTGTACAAACTAAACTAAAATAGAGGTACCCCATCAAATTGTTTTAATTTTAAAAATAAGTAAATTAACAGGTGTAAAATTCTATAGTATGTGGAAATATAATTAAATCTCTGTGGAATAACGTATAATTGTATTGTAACGTATAACTCAATTTAAAGTTTGTATTGTACGACAGAATTAGTACCATTAATAGAGTAATAATATAAATTTTAGGTGTTATCGACGATCAATCATTCATATATATAAAATTTTAGGAAAATTGGAAATGAATTATTAAATGAAATTGGAGTGTCTTTTTGTAATATCAAAAGTACCGCTTTTCACTATAAATATATATAAATATAACACTTTTTTTAACTGTTTGTCTGTCTGTCTGTCTGATTGTTCCACCTAATCTCTGAAACAGTTGGACTGATTTTGACGGGAATTTCACTGGTTGATAGCTAATGCGATAAGGTAACTTGGCTACTTTCCTCGCGGTCAAAATTGCGAGAACAGCTAGTAAGAAGAATATAAAAAATGGACATTCAGTTTCTATTTAGTTAAATAAAAATTGACCAGTATTTCGTTTAGACAATTTTCACAGTATTCCATTTAATGATATATATAGCAAGACTATTTAGCAATGCAAGATTATAAATTAGTTTACTTAAAGAAATCCAACTTTCCGTTGGCTTATTTACAAACAGGCATTTGACAATTGGAGTTTAAGTCATTAAAATTTTATCTTAATAATATCTTCTAATTTGATTTGATGGCCAAAAATATAGTATTAGCCCCAGATGAATGCTGAACTAGTCAATCTTTTTAAGACAATTATGAGATACTAAATCTCCAGATTTATCTCCAGATATACACAATATCATTGATAATATTCCATAATATTTTATTGTCTTAGTCTTAATTTTTATGTAATTCTGGTATCATGTTTAATCATATATTTTGTTAATAACATATATTATGCCTTATGAATGTATTAAAATAAATAAATCTTAATCTTAAGATCTCTTACCCGTTTTAATCAACATACAATTGTTCCATAAACGATTATCAGTACACCATATTATTCAATAACGTTGGACATTCATATAAATATTCTAGGACCACTTAATATCTAGACACTCCCAATAACATTCATATCACATTCTCTCCAAAAGCGTCCATATTAACATCCGTTCCCAAAATGTCTCATTAAAACTACGCAAAACATCAGAGTTACAAAACTTTATGAGATCTGTGGGCTAATTTCAAAACCTATCGTAATTGTTTTCAAGAGTTTAACGTTTATGATAGCGATTCATGGAAATATGTAACATTTGAAATTGCTTTCGGAACGATTGATTATATTAATCAAGAAAAATATAATTAGTAACCTAAACTCAGTGGCGTTACTATACCGTTTGAGGCCCGTGGCAAATTCATCGGATATTTTTTTTACTAATTGCGTAATATTAAATGTCAGGAGTAAGGAGTCTACTCTGACCGGGGGCCACTTCCAGCTGGGGGCCCGTGGCATTTGGCGACTTGCCACCCTGTAATTACGCCACTGCCTAAACTTAATATGCATCTAATCCAATTAACGTCAAACTTACGATTTCTTTCAAAATTTATAGACGCTTTGTTTTATATCGAGTTTAACACGACTTAGTAACATGTGGATAGCGGTGTGGGTTTCACAATGACCTATACACGTTTATTGTAACATATCATTATGTTAACCGTTTGTTAACATAATGATATGTTACATCATTATTCATTATTTAGAACAACCGTTTGTTGTCCTAAATAAAATAAAAAAGACGTTACGATCGTATTTACTACCATATGTCAAATAGTTGTAGTGTGAAGTTCGTGAATATCTTTCAAATTACAAATTGACAGAGATTACGATAGATTTTAAAATTCGACAATTAGGCCAGTGTTACTCAAACGTATTACGTTTTGCAGGTGGTAGCAACTTATGTGGCAGCGAATTCGTCGCTCCAATTCATTCCAGATCGGCCCATACATTGGGCTGGGGGGAGAACGACACCACCTCCTGACACCCCGGAGTGCGGCTTCGACGGCACTTTGTGTCCTGATAATTGTAAGTGTTGTATAAGTGTTTACCTAGTGATAATATAGTTGTAATCTTATAACACTGTTTTGGTCATTTCCATTAAAAGCTTATGGGCTCACTAATATTTATTTTCGTGGAAATAATTTTATCGGAAAACCGGCCAAGTGTGAGTCGAACTCGTGCTCGAAGGGCGTAACATTATCACTAAAACGGCATGAAATCACTTTTGTTGTTCATTTTGTTGTTGAGCTCCTTAAATATTTATTTTATAATTTTTTTTAGTATGTGTTGTTATATAGCTACTATTAATCCTTAAGCCAAAACTGTCAAAAGTCTAGATGTCATCTTTGATCGTAATTTTTCCTATAAGCCTCAGGTAGACGTTGTTAGGAAAAAGGTGACTGCTGCGTATGGCTCTCTGAATCGTTAGGGTAATTATTTTCCAACCAGTACCAAAGTCACTTTAGCGCATTCTGATGCTGAAGTTTGTTATATAGATCTGTCTGCGGTACTTGTCACTTAATTAGAGCGTCTGCAGAATGCTTGCATCAGATTTATTTTAACCTATGTTAACCATTCCACATCCATTGCCCGATGTTACTTTTCATTTTTTTTTCCATAGGTTGCCTGGAAGGTATTGTTTTGTAGCAATAAGGCGTTTTGTATACTGTTTTTCTCATGCTATATAATTTTTTACTTGAACTGTGCGTGTAATACAGTAAATTATTATTATAGCCGCTATAACAACAAATACTAAGAAATCAAATAAAATAAATATTTAAGGGTATCCCATACAACATCTGTGAAAATTTCAACTGTTTAACTACTCGTATTCACATAGCCCGGTGACAGACTGATGGATAGATAGATGGACGGACAGCAAAATATTAGTAAAACAGGCCCGGATTTACGATTTTTATCAACCGGGGCGGAAACTCCCTCTTACCCTCCTCCCCCACGCTCCATGATGCCGGATATTTATATTTTTCTTTTGTTTCATTTTTTTTTAGTGTGAGTAAATATTATAAAAAGATTTTTGCACCACCCTGGCAAGCAAGTGGGAGCTACCGGGGCAAGTGCTCCGTCCCTTGTCCCCTTGATCCGGACCTAAGTAATAGGGTCCCGTTTTACTTTTTAGGTACGAAACTCCAATCGATCTTTTTTTTTACTAAAAACATACTTGCTTTCTTATCCTGTCAGATATAACGTTGTGCGCTGCGACGACAATGCTGCCACAGCATTAGAGGTTAAATCATTTAATATGTCATTAACACATATTCAAATAAACGATTATTATTATACATTTATCTTGACTGATTTTAATGCTATTACAATGCAATTTTTAAGAGAATAGTACTGCTGTAATAGTACAGCAGTAATATTAAAAATAGTTTTGTTTTTTATTTGAGAAACGTAACCAAAAACAGATGCTACCTATCTGTGAAATAAGTTTATTTAATAAATTGTGGCTCCGATAAGCTCAGATATTAAAAACAATTGCTCTAGTTTCAATTTGTTCTATGAAGATGAGTAATTAAAAAGGACTAAAATTTCAATATAAAGCTTGACTCATATATTCTTTAATTTTCAACATCAGGAATTCCAATAAATATGTTAATTACGTACTTGTATACAAAGACACGATATAAACATAAAATATATGTAACAGTTTGTCGAAGCAAGTAATTTGATTAGGGTGTTTCTTTGAATACCTTTGAAGGTGTATCTTACGTTTTCAAAGTAAAATCAACATGAAAGCGACGGGTTTAAATATATAAAGGTCACATTATTTCTGTATTCTAAGGGTATGCTCTGGCTTCTTACATTGGATATCTGTGATATAAGGAGGCGCGTTAATAATATTTCTTCTGCTAGTAGTGTATATTTTTAGGATTAAGTAGTTATAGATTCACCATGGCGATTTATTTTTATCTTCGAACATTAATAAAATGTTTTTAAACAAACTTTTGTTAGATATTATTTTGGAACAGAGATCTTGTATAGATAAATGGTTCGAGATGAGATTGCATTTATTAATCACATAGTTCTCAAGGCTACCATCTCAAATATTTGCCAATCAAATGAGTCCAAATTTCATGTGGCATTGCTTCTTTTGATTAAGTCCCATAGCTAACTTCCAGCTTCATCATTAGATCAGCTCCAATCTAAATCAATATTACATAATTTTTCAAGTCATATATGCATGTAAAAATTCAACACAATCTGAAACTGGGAAGTGAATCTAGTAAGAAATGATTGACACATATCAGAATTAGTATCAAATCTTATAAAATACTCTAATTTGTCACTAGTTGTTGTCGACCAATCTTCTTTAGAAGCTGTTTTTAAATTATATTAGTTACTCTTGTTTTGCAATTGTTATTGGCATTCCCTAAGTTGCTCTTGATTACACGAATATACTTGGAAACTGTGTGTTTTAGTTCGGTCCTCAATACTAGTATAATAAAGTGTTGTCTATAAAATTTCACGACTTTTACTTGTATCAAATATAAAATACTTCTACTTCTCCGAGTACATTTTTCTTCTAATTCGAACGAAAATTATAGAAAGATATATTTGTTGTGTGAAATAGGTGGTAGATATCTATAAAATGGGGAAATGCTGTAAGTTTTTTTATTCAAATCAAATTTAATATTCATCCATTCAGCCAAGTTAGATCTTTAAAAGACGCTCATGAAAGATAAAAGGCCATGCTATACATTCATATATATTTAGATAGTACTTGCGATGAAAAGAATCAGCAAGAAAGCATTTGGAACAAGTAAGAACACATTTTGTTAGCTCTTTTATATAAAATTTCCTCAAAGCCCTGTTTCAACGACAAGTCATGTTCCGCTTCCCTGAGACCACGAACATGAACATATTTCTATAGAATTCCATGCTATTTTTGGAATAGAAATAACCGCTTTGATTATCTATTTACTACGACCAAAAACATCAATTTCTCTTGTATATTCTAAGGGAAAAGTAAATACTGGTATGTTTTGATGCTTATTGCCTTGTCCCTGTTGAATAAAAATAACTCTATCAATGACACGTTCAAAACACCTTTCCTGTCAGTGTCCGCTTTGCTAGATTTTAGGAGGATTAAAATGAAAACATTTGGGCTAGAAGTTAAGTAATATCATAAAACGACATTTTTAGGGTTTTGTACCTCGTAAAAGAAAAACGGACACCCTATAGGATCACCTTGTCGTACGCGTGTCTATCGTATAAATTATAACCATATACACATGTTTACAATCCTTTGAAGCTGTAAAAAAAAAGAAAACTTTAAAATAATATTATAACATAAAAAAAGATACGATAGTATATTTTGTGGCTTTTGTATTTATAGTATATGTTATGAATGCACGTCTGGTCAAATTAATATTACGTTTGTTTGAACAGTCACAGTACTAGTTCTGAAAACAATAAAAATCTGAAAACTATGAATATATTTTTTTAATTGTATTTATTATAAATACGTCAAATCCTGGGTCGAAGTTTAGACAGAAATTGTCTAAATCGGTTCTCCACCAAAAATAATTAATGCATCCTCAGAACCATTTCTTTTTAGTATATATATATATATATATATATATATATATATATATATATATATATATATATTTCACTTTTTAAATAAAAGTTTTATTTTCTTTAATATAATCAATGTTTTTGCTCATTTTCACTCAAACACTCACACAGTCCGATTGGAACAAAACAAATACGAAACAAAGAAAAGTAATTGGGCAGGTACATACGTAAGTAAAAAAAGAACAGGTACTGAGAAAATATCAAAATAAACGGCTGTATTTCGTTAAATTTCGGTCATTATCATCAGCCCTTTTACGTCCCCACTGCAATGGCTCAGGCCTTCCTTATGGATAGTTAAGGAGGATGGGCCATAACCCCCCACGCTAGCCTAATGCGGATTGGAGGGTATTAACGACTGCAAATGCAGCCGGGACCAACGGCTTAACGTGCCTTCCGAAGCACGGAGTAGCTCGAGATAATAATTTTTTGGTCACCTATCCCGTGACCGACCCTTGCGAAAGTTGCTTAACGACAACGATCGCGGGCCGCGGCGCTTATCCACTACGCCACCGAGCTACTCTAAGTGTGCTAAATCTCTACGCTTGGTAATATTCGATTCGCCTGTGCAGCGCACGCCAACATACTTCTTCTTAACTTAAATGGCACTTTGCGTCATCACAATACCTAATATCTCATAGTGTGTAATCGTATGGACTGTCTGCGTGCGCTTGCCGAAGCGCACGAGGACTTTTCTTTATAGCGAAAATATGTTTTAATAGTTCAGTAAAGAGCACAAATTGTTTTATCACAATTGGAAATATATATAATTAAATGGAATAAATAAATAAATATTTAACAACATCACATACATTGCTCAGATTCCAAGATGAGTAGCTAAAGTCCCCGTATTATGGAGTATCTGAGACAACGAAGGTACCACAACACCCAGACCCGAGTTAATATAGAAAAGTTCATTTTCCACATTGACCCGATCGGGAATCGAACCCGGGACCTCAGAGATGGCGACACCTTGAAACCGGCGTGTGAACCACTCGGCTACGGAGATCGTCAAATTAAATGGAAATCGAATAAATTATCCTTTTTTTAATAAAGGACAACTGAGCCACTGTTTCGTTACGGCTACTGATACCCATATAGCTAAAATAAATAGAAAAGATTTTCATATTTTTTATGAACACCATGATACATCGTCTATTTATTATTTCAAGTTTTGGTGGAATAAAAACACTCACATACATACATTAAACCTAAACTCCTTTGTTTGGGCAGTCATGTAAAAATATAGTCTTAAGGAAGTTCAAAATTGAAGCTATTAGTTCGAGAGATGTGTCATATGAAAGGGCTTGATGTGCATATTTCAAAACATATATTATTTTATTTTATTCACGGTGCAGAAATTCTTTTTATGCGAGCTGCATTCGCTCCTTTTCAGTCCTTAATTTTATCGTAAAATTTTCGTAAATAATTTCAATATTATAATAGTAAAGCAGTAGTATAATATCTTGAAATTATTGGGAATCTCGGATAAAATTGAGCATTGATTAATATCTTCTAAAGATATTTATTCACTCAAATAATTCAGCCGAAAGCTAATTAAAGCTTTCATGGTAGTAAGATCTGAAATCATAATTGAGGTATTACTGTCATTAATGAGATTGCTTTATCAAGCTTTCGTATAGTATAAATGTTTCTTAGTTTCATCAATATCAGCTCGCTTTGATCTCATATTTACATGTACAAATGATGCCTATTCGATTCGGCTTAGTTAAAATAAACAAGTATATACACTTTGATCCTGTTCGGTTAGAAATACGCAGATCGAATAATATAGAAACGAATGAATAAATATTTGATGAATGACACGAATAAATATATCACACATTGGAATTGAGTGAACGTTTTTACATACAATCAGTGAGAGAGGTGGCAATTCTGTTGGCACGAAATAGATATTTATTATTACAAGCGTCAATTTAACTTGCAGTATATGTATAATAGTATGTTTGCCAATCCTGCAATTAAGCTTATACGTTTAGATGTCTATTTATAAAATTAGAATCTTTGATGAATACGCATTTGAAGTTTTTCATGGATAAAGCAGTAATGTTACAATACCAAGCATTTTCATATTATTTTATTGGTTCCATGCCAAGCGAGGAGCGTTCGGGAAGCGCTAATAAAATTTTGATGAATCGTAAATATTTTCCATTAGAATGTTACTAATAGCTGAACGTGACTTTGCATGACGTTCAATTTATCGAGTAGGAAACGTCTATTGAAATTTAACTCCCGATAAAATAATTCCCTGTAACTTAAAATTTACTTATATAAAGGATAAAGTTTGGTTCTTGATGAAATGTTTGATAATATTCGGTACATAGATTAACACACACGCTTCCTTTTGTCTTACTAAATGATTACCTAGGGATAAATGTGCCATCGAATTATCATGTAAATTAAGCAGGCGATGCCGCTGGTGGAAAGCTAGTGTCTATAATTATAATTCATAAATAATGTAAATGTAGTAAAATTTTTACCGTTATTCTGATTCAATCAGGTTTATTTTATTAATTAAGATACCTTTTTGTTTGAAGATAATACAGATTTTTGCGATGACAAAACTGGTTTAAAATCATCTGTTGTAATAAATGATTTTTTTTCGATATTTCGTATATTTATCTGTACGTTTCGATTAAATATCGATTGGATTTATTATAAAACTGGATATTGATTTCTTATATTATCACGCACTCTATCCCTAAATAAAACGGTTTCATCACGTTCCTACTTAGTTTTATTGACGTTTCGGACCCTTTACAGTCTTATGTGAACACGGAACCTGTAAAGGCTACGAAACGTCAATAAAACTAAAAACAAACGCGATGAAAACGTTTCAAATTTGTTTTATTTATAAAACTGGATATTTTAATAAGTATTGTACTTTGAAAACGCGTAGCATAATATTAGTAAATATTTATATACCTCTACAACTCTCTACACAATAGCTCGGTGGCTTAGAGGATAAGTACCACGGCTCACGATTGCTGTTGATAAGCAATTTTCGCAAGGGTCACGGGATGGTTGACGAAAAAATTATGATCTTGAGCTACTCCCTGCTTCGGAAGGCACGTTAAGCCGTTTGTCTCGGCTCCATTTGCATAGTTGTAGTTAATACTCTCCAACCCGCATCGGGCCAGCGTGGAGGATCATGGTCCATCCTTCTTAACTATCTATAAGGAAGGCCTGAGCCACTGCAGTAGGGACGTAAAGGGGCTGATGACGATGATGATCTATACAAGCCTTCTTAGAAGATATACAGAATAATAAATATTTAATTCATTTCTTATTAAGTAGCCTGGTTCAATCCATTCTCACTGTCTTCTAGTTCAGTCAACAAACCGATGCCTTAATCACTTTGTTGACGGAATCATAACTTAGCATATGAAATAAGAACTTTGACACTTGAATACGAGAGATACATTTTAAATTTCAAATTAGACTCTTTTCATAGATTCTGAAAGCGGAATAATTTTTTTAATGTAAATTGTGACTGATTCACGTTTAACTACTGATTGAAGACTTGTTTTGGGGAATTGGAAGACAATTTCGAGTTAAGCCTTCGTAGAATTTTCAATTTGTTTAGAATTGTTTATGTTAAGTTTGCGTACCTAAAATGGCAAACAGCAAACAAGATAAAAATAGACAGGGACAGGTATAGTTTTGCGTGAAATAGAGCGTCAAAAAATATTTTCAATTAATTAGTAGCAACCCTTAACGATTGTTGTAAATTTTCACTATTTCGTATATTTCGAACATATTACTTGTGTTTTTAATTATCAAACCTAAAACAAAAGGTGTATATTTACGAGAAGAAAAATAAATTGTGCATTTTACAGGTGATTTTAGTTGTTCTATCGAGATTATTTTAGCTTTTAATCCAATTAGGGAGGGTTTTCATTTTAATATTACATTTCATTTGGGAATTTTTGTTCACAATTTTTAATATTACTTGACACTTTTCTTCTTGCGATTAACATCACACAACAAATGTAGCAATAAAATTATCAATTAATTTTTAACGCACTTTCAGAGGGATGTCAAGTAAACTACAATATGTAGGTTAAATTTATGCAATCAATTTTTATGTTTTCTTTCACAAATTAAGTTTTGAAGTTGATAATTTAAATTTGTTCTTTAGTAACCTAACGCACCGTCGAATTTCCATTTGAAAATAGTAAACTGTAATAAAATTAGGTCACCTTTGAGTAGTACTAAATTATATTTGCATCGATGGAAAAACTGTCGCAGTTGGATAAATACAGTTAAAATTAAAACGAAATTGTTCGTTGGCAATTATTTAAGTACTTTAATACATTTTAACTTAATACATTTACATTTTCATTTGTATTGCACCACATTATGACCGTGTTATGAACGTATCGAGCACGAAACAAACTGGATGATATGCTCGTAAGAAATCCGTATTATACCCGGTTGGTGACGGATAGCCTTTCATGTATAAGGGGACTCCAGGATGGAATCCTGAAGTGGGATGGGGTCTAGGGTTCCAGATCTTTCCGTACAAATGAGGGTACTTCCACAACTAGTTTTAGTATGTAGACCAACCATGCTTTGACCTTGTCCTCGAGGGAAGGTCCTACTTGTTGGAGATGATAAGTGTCCTTTTAACTAGGCCACGGCTTCTTAGTCTCATAGCTTTGATGAGGGTTTTTAATACAGTGAGTCATATAGAATACACTTAGTTCTACAAAATCTGCAAGGATATGCGTAAAGTATATATTTAAAAAGTTCCCAATGGTTTCACTGCCCTGAATTTAGTATAAACAGTTTTTTCCGTAAGTTAACACAAAAAAAAATTCAGTCTCTTAAATTACGAAGAACATATTTTAACTCTGGAACGTTCCCGTTACGGTGGTGATATAATAAGATGTAGTAGGCATACGATTTTTATATTAACCAAATGTTTTTTGTTTCAGCGATACCAGTGTACGCGATACTTAGTATTGTCCTGAGTTCTGTAGTTGTGGTGTTGGCAGTACTATCAGTATTTATTTACAGGTGAGTTGTTTGTATTATTATACAGTGTTTTGTGTTTTTCACTCAAACTGAAAGTCACATTGAGATAGCTTGAATAAAGTTATTAAATGCGTTTCTTATTAGTAAGAGTTAATCCATATCTTAAAAGGGCTTCGGAAGATGAGGGTATTGTAGCCAATAGGGCGGCCGACAGGTGAGAGGCTAATATTACAAGCTGAGAAGAAGAAGAGGTAGGGTTTAATATTTTTAGTTTCAAAAGGTAAAGTCTAAGATTATAGGATTGATTTTTAGATTTCTTTCATCGATATAAACCTTTATTAACCTAACTATAATCATGAAAACTTTGAACGTCTGCTAAAGAAAATTACGCAGACGGAAGAGAAGGAAAGGCACAGTTAAAATTCATAATTGGTGAAGAAATATAGAAATAAGAAGAACAACCAAAAATAAAAATGTTTAACGATCTAGAAAATGTAGAGATTAAATATTTCAAAATGACTTTAAAAATCTTAACTAATGAAATTTCGACAATTGGGTAACCATTATTATATTTGATCAGTTTTGCATCATAATACTATACTAGAAAATATTCTTAATAAAAAATGCTTAAAAATTACTTTGTCCCTGGTACTCTGAGATCGGAATGAATTGAAAATGTCTTTATTCAAGCAAGCTTGATACAAGCACTTTTGAATCGTCCAAAAATTTTTTTCCTCTACCCCTCGTTCAGGACGACTTATAGCTGACAAGAAGAACAAGTGAAAAAAAACTTACTTATGACATTCACATAAATTATGTCATTACCAAAATAGTATGTATTATATCAACAATAAATACAATTTTCAAAGTCTGTAAGACATAAGTTGGTATATATAATAAGTCGTTATAGAACAAAGCGAAGGCTATTAATTCCATACGTTGCGATACCTTAAATAATCATCAACTTTATAATAGCCTTTACTCATAAGTATGTTCTTTACATGAATTTTACGGGTAAGTCAATTACATTTTGAGGAACATTATTGAACATAGCAATGGATTTACCCAGAAATGATCCTCTGGTTTTTTAAAGTCTCAAACTTGGAACGCCAAGTTTCTTTTATTTCTTGTGTTAAGATTATGAACATAATATTTTCATAGATCTATTGAGAGGCAACAGTTAAAATATTTATTTCTTGAAATTTTTCTCAGAGAGATTCCCTAGACCGTAAAATATATATAGTGTGGATAGCTCTTGTAGAATAAAAAGATCTTGAATACTAGCTGCAACTCCACAACAATAGACCATAATACGTCATTACACCATTAAAATAACTAAAATACCATCAGTGAAATATACGGATAAATAAAATGACCCGTGAACCTGTGAATGGGCACACCGGAACCAAGGGTAAAACGAGTTCTAATGTCAGCGTGCCATCTCGACTGTTCCTTCCTCCCAACGTTACATTTTCCTGTTCGAGGTCATCAGTTAAGAGAGGTTAGACAAAAGTTGAATTTAACACTATCGCGAAAACAATTTCGTTTGAATACTAATATTTCTTATTTTTTACTGTTAGGAGCTCAGGAACCAATTTCAATCTTAGGAAACTGATTTTGTGCATTGCTGTTTGCAATCATAGATGGGGCATAGACACAAAAAATCATGTAGACAGCCACTCGTATACACAAACTTGCCCGCCCTCATATCTACATAAACACAAAGCACACACAAAAAATCTGTAGAACTTTTAGCATTGAACATTAATTACACTACAAAAATCAGTTTTTTGTAAAAATCAATTATAGTATCTTCCCAATTTGACAACAGAGTAGGTAACAAGCCTGTGTGTGTGTCCAACTTAAATTGATTAATATAAGTTTTTAAAGTAGAAATTTATTATATTTGATAATTTAGATATTAATAAAAAAATAATGGGTCACGTGTTCAAGTAAAAGTGTATAAAATACTTATTCCAATAAAAAATTATTATAAGTCGGGTAAGTTTATTGGTATATTGTGTAGGGAAAATGAAATGATGGACATCGGGCCCGTAGGGGATAGAAAATATTCAAAGCTCCCACGAAATAGGTAAAATCAATTTAAAGACGTAACAAAGTTTGCAATACTCAAGGAGATCAATCATTTTATTCATCAAATCAGATTTCGATACTAATAAGGTTTCAACAACGGGAAATTGCAAGTAAATATTGTTATTTTTCTCGTCGAAACGTGGGACAACACGAAATTAGTTTGGTTACTTTATTTTTGTTCTGTCCCCGTTGTTTTTGTTTGAATTACGTGTTCCGACTGATATTGTTACAGATTACTATTGAAAAACTTTGTGGCAAATTTTGTAGGCTGTTTTGAATTCGTTGTATTATTCAAATACGTATTTGCGATGTTGAAAGTTCTTATTCTGTAATATAACGGATAATTATAATCGCTACATTTTATTTTTATCTAAGCTTTGTCACACCTAACAATTATTTTGTTGCGATTTACTGTGAGAGATGTGATAATAGATTAAATTGAAGTAAGACACTAATCAGTAACAGGTTGGTAAGATGTTCTACCCCAACAGTGTGACTTCTACATTATAGTGAGATTCTTTTCTACAGATATTGAATGCGCAAGACACGTCTTGGCACAGACTTAATAATATTCTTCCAAACAATGTCTATGAACGTATTTATATCTATAGTACCATTACCGCGGCCACGTGTGTCGGCGCCACGACGAGTGTTGGAGTGGAGACCCCGTTTGAGTAAAAGAAGTGTTGATAGACCATTGTCAATGGTCCGATGATCTTAAAATATTTGCGGAGAAATTCTGGAGGGGGAAGCAGAATATAGAACTGCATGTTATAATATAGAACTGATTAAAGAGGCGTGTGACCAACAGTGGGTTGACCAACATGCTGAAGAAAAAGAAGAAGAATACGATCGTAAAGACACCAACAGATGGCCACGGACCCCAACAAAAACGCACCGTGGTCGGTTTGTCTGCGACATTCATATCAGTACATTGCCTGTAGTGTATATGCCGTGGTTGCCAGGTAGCGTCTGTGTCTGTACCGACCAGCTTGATGTCTGAATATATAAATGAACTTTTACTTGTGAACATGGATCTGAATAAAATATGTCATCATAATTACCACTCTTTATGTACGTACGAACGTACCTTCTGAAGCACGGAGGAGCTCGAGATAGAGATAGTATATTTTCGGTCGCCCATCTTATGACAGGCCATTACGAAACTTGCTTAACTTCCGCATCGAAGAGTGCGTTAACAACTGCGATTTCCTCTATATACGTATACGATTGACAGTGATTCTAATAATAATATTTTTTGTCGTAGACATTACAAGCTGGAAGCGGAGATCGCAATGATGACTTGGAGAGTTAGCTGGAGTGATGTGCTGCCTCCTGGTGGTAGACTGCGCGGTAGCATGCATTCTCTCGCACGAAGGTACAGCTCCGGGGTGAGTTTACATTCGTTGTAAAAAAAATATTGGCACAAAAGGTTTTACAAAGATTATTAACGCTCAAACCGCCACGACATCTCTACCTCTAAGCATCACCTAACTTAGTTGACTAAAAGAAATTTGTGCAAGAAGTATTAAATAGATAAAATAACTTCGTGTTTTCAATTGAAATCAGTTTTTTGAAGCAGTTATACTTATATGAACTTCTTGTTAAATTTACATGAGTAATAAAGTCTTTGAAATTCGAAAGTTAAATAACTGTCCCGTTTATGCTTATAAAATAAAATTTCATTTGAATACATACATAATATTAGCCGATATTTATCCATATTTAACTTTACTTTAAAACTTAGAACTTCGCGACTCCTTTTTAAGATTACTTGGTTGAACTTGAAAATACTCATAAGAATATAAATGTTTCTAGAATATAAATTTGAAGTGAAATAAAGCTTTTTTTTATTATAAGTATATAAATAAATTTTTGTGATATGCTTGGCAGAATTAAATACCGACACTCGTACCTCACATAAAATTTTACTAAAATTTAATTAAAATTTTCTATCAAAAACGCTTTTAGATTCAAGCCTAGAAATTGCCGAATAACTGAATATTAAGGAGTATTTCTCGCATTATCATGACATTGACACGAAACATCGATTCTAAGATTTTGCGATCTTCAACTGTTTCTTAAATACGAAAAGGTTTGTTAAATATGAAACTCTTCGTCAAATATAAAAAAGGACATCCTTTTGTAAGTTTTATATATTGGTTAGTATATGCGATACAAAAAAATAATAATGTTTACATTACTTGGCTCCACAATAATGGAAGAACAATATAAAAAAGTAGTGACTTATTACCTATAAACTCTTATCCAATAAGATGATATAGATAGGTTTATATTAGACTTTATTTGCAGTGAAGTCAATTTATTTTATAAGAATGTGGGATCGATCAATCTTTTACATCAATTTTCTTTTATTTTGTTTCCTGGAACACGACAATATGTTAACGTCAGGTGTTAGTGACGTATTTGTTGTTCATCTTATACGATGTCTATTCGTTTACAGTGACTAAACATTTTTTTTAAATGTATCGTTTTTCCGAAAACTATTACTATTTATATTATTGTAAATGTGCATGTTAATGTGACCTTGGCTCCAATATGATTCATATATTTAAATTTTTTTCCTATGAATAGGATACAATTATTACAAGAAATAAATAAGAAAGGAATGTTTTTTTGATGTTATTTTATAGAGAAAATTTGATTAATTCACGTTTTCGTTGTTACAGATAACTGACATTATAATAGGGGTTAAAGTATGAAATTGCCGATATGTACTGAAAATCAAATTGCTTTTTTTTTAATTTTTAACAAATTTATTTAGTCAGTTACCATTATTATCTATACATTGCTGCCATCTAATAGGAAGGTCATTTTCAAAGCATTTGAACTGCCTCCTGGGAAGAAAACTTCTTGTCACGTAGATAATTGTCCAAATCACGAAAAAAATGGTAGTCTGTTGGAGCGAGATCTGGCGAATATGGAAGATGACGAATGGTTTCTAACTGCAGGTGCAGAAGGGTCAAAACGGTTTCTCGTGCTGTATGAGGTCTCGCGTTGACATGGAGCAATAATAGTGAAGATCGATTCATGAGTCGAGGCTGCTTTACTGCTAGTTTTTCCAACATTGTTCAGAGTTCGGCAAAAATAGACATCTGCCGTTATTGCTTGACGAGATAGAAAAAAACTATAGTGAATAACACCATGCTGAGACCACCAAACAGTTAACATTACCTTTTTATTGATTTTTTATATACCATATATTATCTTTTTATATTCATTCATATCTGTATTGATTCAACAAGGCAACACAAGTTTTAACACGCGTTTCTTTCTGCAGATCAGTCAAATCATAAGGCACCCATTTTTCGTATTTTTTTTTTATTGATTTGATGAGTCAATTCAATATTGTGGGCAAGGTAACGTTAAACTATGCCGCTAATTCCTAGGTAGTTAGACTAGGATCGGCTTCCACCATCTCTCTTTATTCATCGTTATTCACCTGTGTAGGCGGTTTTCTTCAAGTCAAAGTTTCCATCACGAAAGCATTTAAACCAAAATCGCACGGTGCGTTCATTAGCAGACGCTCATTAGAAGATCTCCAAACGCAACATTGATATTGCGGGTTGTTTCTGCCGCGTTACTTCCGGGTCGGAACTCGTATTCAAAAATCACTCGAATTTCCGCAGTATCCGTCTTTCTTGTCTAAGTTGAATAACAAAAACAATTGAAAGTCGATATTCAAATATTTCACATTTTTTATAAGAAGAACATCATAGAAACCATGTGAAAAAAGTTTCTTTCGAAAACCTCAAACCATGAAGATTCTATGTCAATTCAAGGAACCTATTACAATAAAACGGCAATTTCATACTTTATCCCCTAATATTTATATTTTAAATGTAATTCATTTGAACGTTATATTTTTATATAAAACCAGTGGAAATTGTGGGACATTTTGGAATATATTACATGTTATCTGCCAGAAATTGTCTCTTGTGCAGGAATTTATACTATACCATACGTTCTGGCTTTAATATAATTTTTTTACGATGTATCGTGAATGTTACCTGCCGTAATATGGATTTTGATTAATACAATTTTAGTAACGATCGAGGCTCCGATATTTTATTTGGTAATAATAACTTCTATAAATTTTCACAAAGTACATTTTTCTTCTCAGACAGCTTACTCAGATGAAGGAGCATCTCTTCCTGGTGACCGCCAAGTATTTACCAAAAGAGGTTATTACAAAGGTTGTAAAGTAGCCATCAAGGAGGTCGACAAGCAACGCATAGATCTAACAAGGCCACTTTTATTGGAGCTAAAAAAGATGAAGGACTTAGAACACGATCATTTGGCAAGATTTTATGGAGCTTGCGTTGACCCACCTCACTGCTGCCTCCTAACCGAATATTGCCCAAAAGGATCACTGCAAGATATTCTCGAAAATGAAACTATCAAATTGGATTGGATGTTCAAAGTTAGCTTGATGCACGACATAGTTAGGGTGAGTTGATTGCTTTATATTTTTCTTAATTCACTACAAGTTTGAATTATGAATTGCCGCAGCGATGAATTTGAAGCTGCGGCCGACGTTGTACTTTTAACAGAATAGCACTACAGATTCATGCAATATTAGGGGGTAGAATAGTTTAATTTTGAGAATCCAAACAACAGGAATAAAGCTTCAGCTTCAAATTTTAAAATTGAGAAATACATATTATTTAACGTTCAATTTGTTTCTATTCTATTGAAATTAGGTAGAGTTAATAATCTATAATTTATAAATACATAATGAGATACTACAAGCGATTGTTAATTGAAGTAAACAAATTCATAATTAAGATAATGATATGAGGTAAAATAAATTGAGCAAATTATCTTCCTTGTTATGCTCTCGACAGAATATTATATTACGCAGGTAATCATGTCCTCCTACGTGAACTCCACAAATTACTTTGACATTATCCTGAGAACTTAAAAAACAGGTTCTTGAGATATTTACTCGATAAAATAGAGATTAACTCAATCACACAAATTGAAGAAATTTTATTCATTAATAATATCGATAGTGCAGCAGTTTAACTTTTTTTAAAGTTAAGGATCGATACGTATCTGCAGAAGATCCGTCGTATCTCGTTGCGGAGCATCAGAACTGACAAAATATTATTTGATGCTAGCTATTTTTCCATGACTTCGCTTGCCTAAATTATAGCATCCACATATAACGTAGCATCCCATATGTTAGAGATTATTTAAAATCGGTCTAGTAATTTTGGAGCCTATTCAATGAAAACAAATAAACAAACAAATAATCAAATCTTTTCTCTTTATAATTAGAGTATAAATGACATTCAGTCATGCACACTCGGCGAAAATTCTGTTGCGTACAAACGCATACTTCTGAGACACTCTGAGACGGATCTTGTCTACAGGGCATGGAAAGATAAGTTATTGGGAATTCGAGGGTGCCATTGATTGAATATAAATTTAAGACTAACGCCTATAACCAAGATTGGGGTAGCTCAATCTTATTATTTTGGGCACCCATCTAACGCACAGGAGAAGTAAAAACATTACATTCAATTTAAATTATTGTAAATTAATTTTATTTGTTCAAGATTTAATTTTATTTATATAGTTTAAAATCTTATTTGTGGTATCACACAATTTTTACCATAAAAACACACTATTAGTTTTTTATTAGATTGGATTTCTTCAATAATGAAAAAGTCAAGATATTAGACTAATGACAGCAAAATTGGAATGTATATAATATTCAATTTTGATATCATCAAATAGAAATGAACGAAGAGTCAATTAACATTGATTGTTCGATCTTAATTAAGTTATTATCTTATGAAATTTTCACTACTCAATAGTTTATCTCGTCTACAGAATTTCTAAAACTTGAAAGGAAAACCGATATGCTTTGATAATGTCCCACCAACAAAGCATTGAGTCAGCGTCAAAATCAGACCAATGAACTGAATGTAACAGGATTATGTTACCATTGTATCTATTGAATTTGCGATCGACACGTAAGCTTGACATCTTTGAAGTAGAGTTGCTTTCACGTTGATCCTTTGACGACAACAAGATTCACATATTATGAAACAAATAAGGACTAATTTTCTATGTATAATTTATTTGAAGATCTTTTATGGTTGGCGTAAATAGAAGTCTAAAAAAAATATTTTTATTGATTTCATATTATATTTTGAATAATTGAACAGATCTTTTCCTTTTTTTTTTGAAATTTACTTCTGCTGTTTGTAATGCATTGTCCCGCAATTCCTTTCTTTAATCGATATGTTTTCCGATAGTCAAAAGTTTCCTGTTAGAAATAGCTTTATATTATTGCTATGATATAGGAATGAGGCAAACTTTTGGGTTCATATTTATAGCTACATGAATCTGTATAATTAAAAAATATATTAATCATCAACATCAGCCCTGTTACGTCCCCACTGCAGGGGCTCAGGTGTTTCTTATGAATGATTAAGGAAAATAGGCCATGCCCCCAACGCTGGGCCAATGTGAATTGGAGGGTATTATCCCGGAATACTCTCCAATTCACAGCCGGCACCAACGACTTAATGTGCCTTCCAACGTACAGAGGATACTACAGATAATTTTTTGATCACCCATCCCGCATCCACCCCTTGCGAATATTACTTTACCACAAAGTTCATGAGTAGTGGTGCTTATCCTATACGTCATCGAGCTTAGTTACTCAATAAAAATATTACTTGCAGTAAATATGGATTATTAATTATTTTATATTCCAGGCGGATAATGGTTGTTATATAAATGGTGTATGTTTTATGATTTCGTCTATTCTTTGAATTTATAAAGCACATATTAATATTTTCATAACAATGGTTTGCAAATTGGTTATAACGACGACTCTTGAAGTTCAATTCATGTTACTCTACTAGCACGAATGGAACTTTACGAGTCATCTTCAATTTTAATAATATATTAATTAACACTAAACTTTTTGGTCCAGGGAATGCATTACCTTCACGGTACCGATATCAAATCGCACGGGGCTCTAAAATCAACCAACTGTGTAGTGGATTCACGATTCGTTTTGAAGATCACAGATTTCGGGCTCCACGCTTTAAGGACTTCGGAAAAGGATTCTAAAGCCCACAGCTATTGGACGCGTGAGTTGAATTTACAATCGTCTTCTTGTTATTTTTTGTTTTTATTAGGTTGGTAACTAGGATAAATGATTCTACTGTTAGAGTCATGTGATTTATTATTACAAAATTGTCTACGGACCTTAAAAAATGGTTACCTACAGTAAATTTACTATGTCAAATCATTTGCTCTTTAATTACACTGTATACTAATCGTTATTACATTTTGTTTGTCACATAATGACTCCTGTATACATGTATGGTACTATCTTTCCTTATATTATATATTTATTGTTTTTGGTTCGAGGCGTAATGCCACAGTAATCCGTGTACCTAATATACAACATAGATGTTTAATAACGTGCGTTTTGATTTTTTAATTAAAACACTGAAAATGCTTTCCTTAAATGTTATAAAGTCTTTTGGCCAAGGGTGAATTTATAATTCCTTATTTATATGTGTATGAATTTATACATAATATTTATACAATTATATATAAATTTTAATGACTAGAGATTCAACAAAAAGTGAACAAGTTTTCCAAGCAAGCCGCCTGTGAACGACCTTTACTAGTGTTACTTAAACTTCATAATTACAGACTGAATCCACTAACTGCGCAACACGCTATCTAAAATTTTCACTTAATTTTAGCATATTAATAAAAAAACATTTATGTAGACACCAACAACATATATTCAGACGTAAACGGCTTAAAATAAAAGGTTTAACGTTTTGATGTTCGTTTGTTTCAGATAAAATCCTATAAAACTCTTTAACCCAATTTGACAGATATGTCGAATTGCGTTCCAAAGTCACATTTTAGTGTTATATAAAATAGTGTTACATAAGCAAAAATATAAATACTTTTCTTTCGACGACACAATATCATAAATACTGTTAGAAAGAGTTATTATTATGATGATATCCGAGGCCGAACAACTTGCACACCTGTTCCTAGGTGCTTAATCTTTGAAGTCCCGTGTTCGATTCTCGATCGGGTTAAACTTTCAAATAAGCTTTTTATTAATGTCTCGGGTTATTGTGATATGTTAGTTGTTCAGATTTCCATAATACAAGTGCTTTAGCTTCTTAACTTGGAATCTGAGCAATGTATGCAATAAAATGTTGTCTTATTCCAAAATATGTTCATGTGACTCTCTGAATCCAGAATCAGATCCTCTACCAAGTAACTAATTAAGCTTCATATAACTGTCATTACATCTAAGTTAATGTTTTCAATATTAAATTTAATTTGATGCTACATTAAATTATAAAAATTCTTCGATTTACCAATGAACCAGATCTAGTCAATAAAAACGATTGAATAAAGTGCTTTAAAAGTCAAAATATACCTGAAGTGAGTGGCAAAAAACTTTTACGATAAACCCGAAACCCCATTTCCATGCAAACATTCATTTAACTCGCCTAAATCTCATTTAAAAGGTTTATTATGGACGTCTCCTGAGCTACTTCGAATGCAGGAGCCTCCACCGGAAGGGACTCAGAAAGGAGACGTATATTCCTTTGGGATTATCATGCATGAGATCGTTCACCGTCAGGGAGTGTTCTGGCTAGGATCAGGAGTGGAAATATCTCCTAAAGGTAAGACTGTACAGCGTGTTCTGTCTTGTTTATATATTTTAGGGAGGCAAAATTCTAAAAAAAATTGTATTGAAAGACAATTAGGCTTGATTTACTTAGGCGCATTAATGATATTTCAATAACATTTCGTTTGACATTGAACTTGTCTACAACTTAAAAATGGCTGCTACATGCAGCCATTTTTTTTTTGCAATAAAAAATAAAAATTTGCGCCGGAGTTCAAAAAATTGTAGCTGCACAGATGTTGTAATACTAAAAATGAGCTTGTCCAATTGCTGATTATTGTTTGTGAATAGAAAAAATAGGCCAGGGCGAAACGGAGTGGACACGACAGGAACCGGTTTAGTTTACCAAAAGTGGAATAGCCATGCCTTCAGCAAATCAGGGATGGTATTTGACTGAAAATCGCTCTCGTTGGCATGCAACCTTCTTAACAAAACTAAGAGATCCCCATTAGCAACGCATAGTAGTAACAAGCCATATAATGCTAACCAAAAACATAGTGATATAATGTAATCAATACATCATCAAGACGTTAAAATTAGTTAAATCGACACCCAAACCAAGATATCGTTTTAATTAAAACAATATTCGTGGTTTTCTTAAATAAAGCAAACAAAAACTTCTGAAGCAACAGGATTGAGGAAGGAACTGTATATAATTAGTATTAGAATAAAGAGGCAAATTCAATATATGCGTGCTGAAGTAATTTCTATTCACTCTGCCTTCGTTTAGAAATATGTTAATACGACAGGTTAAAAAAACAAAATTCTATTTAGTCCGTCAGTTAGATATACAAAAATATTAGATACGTATATGATCGGAGTAAAAAATATTAGGTACGTATTTTGTTTACTTCAATTTAACAAGAAATAGCTGAGAAGGTGAGGAGTGGGGGCTCGCTTTGTCACAGTTTTGTAGAAAATGTACAAAAGCGTGACGTCATATGATATTTTAACTCAATATATCGCAGTAATTTATCGATTACGCCAAAATAAGTGTTTAATATTTTTAAACAATCTATCTGACGGACAAACAAAAAAACTTAGTGGGATAGCCACTACGTTTTTTTGTTTGTCAATAATTTCAGTTTTCAGTATATATTTTTGTCAATATTTGCTTTCTACTATATACAATTTATACTATGTATTTTTGGTACAGAAATTATAGAAACCATTATCGGAAGTGGTTTACGTCCAAACACTGGACAACATCGGTCGTGCGAAGCAGAAGAGGCCACAGAGCTCATGCGGAGATGTTGGTCCGAAGACCCCACTGAGAGACCAGACTTTGCTCACCTTAAGGGGGCGATACGAAGGCTGAATAAGTAAGTTTATTAATCTTGCGGTTAGGATGGCTTAAAACTGTGTGTAAAGAAAACACGAGACGAATCAACTAAAGAGATGAGCCAATTAGAGAGATGGGATCTGAAGGCCTACTCTGTTTCTCCGAAAACGAAAGTTCGTCAATTTCGAAACCCTAATACGACTATAAAGGAACACATTTTTCGATAATTAATAATGAAACGGAGGTAGGACCCTGACACTGCTTTTGATGCATAAATAATATTGACGCATATGATTTAAAAAAAAATGTAAGAACGATTCGAAATTTTTGTAATTTTCGTTCGTAGACAAACAGAATACTCCCTCAGAAGATAGCGTGTTTCTCAAAATGAGGCTTAAAAACATAATAAATCATGAACTATCACGATTAATGTAAACTATCTCAATCGAAATGCTCATCTATGAAATGACTAGCATATTTATTGATTTTCCTAAAAATCTAAGAATATAATAACTTTAACAAATGGTGAATTTTTGAGCCAAGCTTATAATTTTCACGTATCTGGTCTATATTTACTGCTAATTTGGACATTATTTCTTTGTCCGCAATACAATATTTTTTTAGTTGAGAATACCTCTTGTATTGGTTTGCGATAATGATTCTTTTGATGATCAGAGATAGTTTTGTGTTATCTACTAAAAATCTCGCCATCAAGCAGAATATTATCAAACACTGAAATTGTAACGAATTGCTTCATTATGGAAATCTCAAAATCAATTTTTTTAAATATAACATTTCTTTATATCAGCACGTCAAGATCATTCCTCTAAATAACATTTTGATATAGTCGCAAAATAATCTTATCTAAAACAGAAAACATTACAAAAATGTAATGTCGTTCAAAGAAATTTTAATGAAACACCGTTAAAAGAATTCTCAGACCTTGGTGTTAAAACAATGAAGGAACAATTTTAAGCGTTTATAGAAAACACTTTGGCTTTTACGTTTTCCATTTACATTCCTTAACTCATGCCTTTTTTCTGGGCAGCCATTTGTTTTTATTTGTGAATAATTACGAGTTTACTTCTAACGTTGAACTCAAATTAATATATTTTTGTTTTGGATTATTTGTTTTACAAAACAGACTGTGATAATAAAAAATAATTATTTATCGATAAATAAATTCAATAGGTTGTGGATTAATACTTTTTTATTTATAAATTTGTAATTTTTTCACATTAGGACAATTCAGGTTATTGTGATTAATATGATTCCTGGAGGACTTTATTTGTAGATTATATTATTCTCCTCAAATGAATGTTACTATGACAAATATTATTTATAGGGCCCAAGAAAGCAGTAATATATTGGACAATCTTCTATCACGTATGGAACAATACGCAAACAACTTAGAAATGTTAGTCGAAGACAGAACAAAAGACTATTTGGAAGAGAAGAAGAAATGTGAGGAGCTACTTTACCAATTGCTACCAAAGTGAGTCCTTTTGACGTTGTATATTAAAGATAATTATAGATATTTTTATTTTTATTTTATATCATTACTATTTCGTCTAATATTAATGATTTATACAGTTTTCGGAGTGACGTGATATTGTTATCTAAGCGACAATATTTACAATTAACACTATTAGATAGGTTAGAGTAGAAACGAATAATGTTTCCCTATAATGAACATGCTCTCAATATATTGATTATAATCTAGGAGATATTAATTTAACCTGGTATTAATTTAAACAGATCTGTCGCCTCTCAACTCATTAATGGCCAGTCTGTCGTCGCAGAGACCTTCGAACAGGTGACCATTTACTTTTCTGACATCGTCGGATTCACTGCTCTCTCAGCGTCATCTACACCAATGCAAGTTGTTGATCTGCTCAACGACTTGTACACCTGTTTCGATTCTATAGTGGAAAACTATGATGTGTACAAGGTAAATATAATAAATTATATGAGTTGGAATATAAGCTAAGCTATACACTTGAAGTGTCAATTTGCCAAGCATATTTTCAAAAAATATTTGGATTTTGATTCTGTTTAGCCTCTTCTTTAAAGTTGATCTTCGCCAGTGTTCGCATTCATTCTAGAGGCGGATGCCATCTTTTCTCGAGGCAAGGCATTAACTGGACTATCTTTTTATTTACCACTAGATAAAAGCTTTATTTTTCTTTTCTGATAGATCTTCAATAACTTTTGGATTTCCCATTAAAATTCTAACGTCGACGTAATCCTCAACAGGTGGAAACTATAGGAGATGCGTACATGGTAGTTTCTGGTTTACCAGAACGTAATGGAACTAGACACGCATGTGAAGTGGCTCGGATGGCTCTAGCACTTCTGAATGCCGTCCAGAGGTTCCGAATCAGACATAGGCCACACGATCAGCTCAAGCTAAGAATTGGCATACATTCAGGTAAGATTAATGGTGTTAGTTTAGAGTAGATAAAGTTATCCAATATTGTCACTTCAATTGATGTTAAATTTATTGAAAGTTAAATTTGGAGTGATGGAACTTTGTCCTTTGGATTTTCAATATTTTTATGTTCAAGTTTAAGTGTTTATCTTATCTTGTTAATAAAACACGTACTATTTTGCTCAGTATTCTTAATATGCTTTTTTTCAAAAATTGCTACTCTTTCTTTAATATCGACATAATATGTACTATTGATACAAATATCAATAGCAAATAACGATACCAACATACTACAAAAGGTGAAATACAATCGGTTTTTTAATATAACAATGTTAAAGATTTACTACCAGAAATATGTTCATTTAATCCTGAGAGATTTTAAATTACATCTGTTTTCATTATTTGAAATGAGAATTATTATTTAACGTTTCTATAAATCCCTTGGATATCCCTTGGTTATTTAGAAAAAAATAATGGTACAACATTTTCCATGTTCCAATAGCGAGTATCTTCTTTAGCATTCATTGTTACAATTCAACTTCTCTTTCCACACGTCAAATGACATAAATTTATAGATTAATAACTACGTTATTATGTTAACGCTTTAAATTAGGGGATTAATTTATAACGTTAATATGACCCTAATCACTTAGGTATATAAAAAATAGATAACGAACTTTTCTCACATTTACTGAATATACTTAAAGCATTTCATCAAAATTGGTCGAGCCGTTTCGCAAGAGTATTTTAACTAAACTGTGACACCAGAATGTTATATATTTGATATTACATAATCACATTCTGTAATTTACTTTTCTTTAAGGACATGGCTGAATACTATATCTACTTATTTTGCTCGTAATAGATTTCTTAATATATCTTATGAAAAATATCCGAGAATTCGGGAATGAAAATATTTTTATAATTGGCAAAGTTCAGTGAAATTCTCTTTTAGAATGGTTACGTCAGATTTTGTCTCCGTCGTGATAGAGCACTATGTAATTTCGAAGTTGGATTCTTGGAGTTTCACGAAATCTGTGTCTGAAAATTAATCCAATTTTAATATTTTCTTATGTATTTGAAAAGATACATTTTTACATTTCATGTGAGACATGTTTTTGACTTCAAATTAATAAAATACTTTTAGTGGCTCTATATTTACTTGAAAATTTACTCTTTAGTGATGTAATAACGTGAAAAGAAATTAAAATAAAATATTCGAGTTGACTCTAACGGTAGATATGTTTGTAAACGAATCTGATACGCGATCAAAGGAACAATCCTTTCATATCATCACATAGATTTGAACTCTTGCCAGCTGACATTACTCTTGAGTTTGATTGTATTTCTATGCGGTATGATGACGAGGAACAAATGTGGCTCGAAAAATTCTCGTGACAATCAATATGTAACATTAACGCTTCGAAATACATAGTACGGATAAATTTGCTGAGACACTGTGTCGCAGACAGTGACAAAAGACAATCAATATTGTTTTAATTAGTTGACAACTTTTTAAATTTTTTATGTAATAGTCCATTAATGTCTGAGAAATAATGTAGAAGTAACAGCACATAAGCGGTTAATATTTGCGGAGATATGGTGCTATGTTTGTGGAACTGCTACTAGTCGGGCGAAAACTTTCAAATTCAAGGCACTAAGTGACGTCACACACGCTACAGTTAGCGAAAAACGTATTGGCGTTAGGGCAATCTTTGCAAATTTTGGTTATTTGCGCGTTTGTGTAATGAAAGTTGTATAAAAATAAATTTAATGCCATATGTATTTTAATAAATTTTTGTAATATGTTTTCCCTACTTTTTCAAAGCAATATTTTCCAATGAGTGTAAAAAAAAATATTTTGTTAAATATTTATAAGTTAAAATGGTTCATATTTTGCAATTTTATATTAGAAACACGAATTTTCACTCAGACGACACAAGCATATTATGCAATAAAAATCACTACTGCAAGGATAATTTCCCTAACGCGCAACAAAGAGAATTTATTAGTTTTGTTCATTAGGAATAGGCATACGATATCGCACAATATAAGGTGCTCCTTTACCTGAATTTGCTTATAATCTAACATTTCAGAGAAATTAAAAAATGGAATTTTTACACAAATTCAATCAAAATATCCTCAACGTTCAAAACTTGTATTGAATCATGCAGTCATGCAATATTTGATGTATAGAACGCACAAAATGTATTCAGTAACACAGTACTTGAACGTTGAGTGCATTTTGATTGAATACAATATCGAAGTCAAGCGGGAGGCTTGCCGGTAAGAGTACACGCAAGGCAAACCAATATCTATTGATAGATTCACAGTTTCCATTTCAATACTCTTTTCACATCTGACTGACATCATAATTAAATACCTATTAATTTTATTATATTTTGGAGTAAAGGTAAACCAATAGGAAAAAAAATATTGAAATATAAAACAAAGACGCAAATTAATAAATCTTTAAAGTTAGTGTACCGAATTTGACCGGAGGTGCAGAAAGTCTAATAAATATAAGTACCTATAAAAAATATATTTAATTAATTAATTTTTAATCTTCTTTAAAATACCCAAAGGTTATAAAAAAACAAGAGTAATAAAACTTATTTACAATATTTTATTTGAAAGTCTAAAGAATTAACATTCCATCGCAAAGTTTAAAAATCTCCCTATCGTGGTAAGATCAAACGTCTGATTTCGTCATTTCGATGAAATTTACCACAGGAAAATCACTTCAAAGACCGTAATTTTAACAACTTTTCGTAGCATCTTTACTTATTCTTATCAATCTGAAAAGTTTGTCTGTTTTGTTGTTTAACGGTGTCAACTAATGACAAAAATATTATTATCTTTTCAGAATTTATCTTTTATACAAACCTTACCACGTAAATAATACAAAAAAAAAAACATATTTATGGTTATGTTCCATATTTGTTTACAGCGTTGTTAAAGACTAATGATTCGATTTTTATGCTTTTGAAAATTAAATGATACAGACCGTGTGATGCTAACAATGTAAAGTATTAAGAGTGTATAAAACATTTTTATACATACATATATGAAACATTTAAAAATAGGACCTTAGTGTGGAAAATGTAAGTTTCATTATACGTAGTTAACATTTATGAATATTTAAAAAAGGTAATGGCATTTTTAATGTTATGTATGATGATTCGATAATGATTCGATTTTTATGCTTTTGAAAGCCTCCTCAGTTTTTATAAGCTGTCTAAACCCGTTTAAAACTAAATAAAAAAAAATATTTCGAGTTCATTTTGAGATCATAAAATAACTAAGTTTTTTTTTCTAGTCTAAAATAGCGTCTGTCATTCTTCGGCCTTTCAACTATCTCATCACAAAAATATAATAACGATACTCTGCTCCAAGGCAAAGTCAAACACATTTTCCCATTCATAATATTAACCATTGCGATACCAAATTCGCATACAAAAAATGTATTCCAATCAATGAATAATTTATATTTCAGAGAGTGAAAAAGAACTCCCTTTGAAATCATTATTTAATTTATCGGTTTTCAGAGTGGTGCTAATATTCGATTCCGCGATTCACACTAGAATTTTTATACTGCTATAATCAATGTGCATTTTAATATGTTGCGTCAAAACTGAAATTGTGGTTATTAATGCGTACTTTATTGTGAATAGTCCCGAATTCCAGTTACCTGTTTAATATTCGCGATTTACTTAATAATACCCGATGTAAATAATACGTTTTAAATCACCCTACGCTTGCCCAAGAGTTCTACTTATTGAATTATTTGTCTGTTTTCGGTTACTATAAAAGTGTACTAGAATCTGATGGCACAAAATAAAAATAAACAATATCGATTTCCAAACAGCAATATAAATTGTCAACGTTTGACAACTGCCAAGTCAAAGTGTAATTTATTGTGAATATTTGTGAAAATATTAATAATTTATTTATGAATCGAGAAATATTGTTTTTTTATCTTTAAAGCAAAATTAGTGAATAGAAGCTCAAAATTAAGGATTTTCTTTTTTATGTTAAAGTATGTTTATGAATAGAGATGACGACTGGGTACAAAATATATATATTTAGTCCGTCAGTCAGGTAATAGAAAATTTTTAGATGCGTATTTTTTTACTTCAATTTAATAAGCAATAGTTAAGATAACAGGCATGAAAGTGAAGGAGTGGGGCTACTACATCACAGCTTTGTAGAAAATGTACAAAAGCGTGATGTCATGTGACATTTTAACTAGATGTATCGGCGTAATTTAATTATTACGAAAAAAATATACCTATATAATATATATTTTTTAATTTACCTGATGAAAAAAAACAAGCAAGAATTAGTCGTCATCCCTTTTGACTGGTAACTAGCAATGGGTAGTCTTGATATTTTATTTTTTCTCAATAATTGATTTGTAAATATTCTCTGACGTGTCGATTACTACAATAAAAATATTTTTTAGTAAATAAGAAGATATGATGACATATTTCTACGCCGGGAAATATAGGAACGGTGAAAAGAAAAAAAGAAATTAAAGCGGATTTGATTTAGATGTGTAAACGTACAGGCATTGCAATATTTATCAAGATTAGCAATAAACAGATTCATAAAGTAAGGCTTCTTTTATTTGTTCGTGTTAAAAATATGATTGGGTTTTTCTGTCAGGCAGGGTGCTGTTGATTCAAAATATAAGATTTTGGTATGGTTATAAAAAGTGTACAGATGTATCTTTGTGTAATATATTATGTATATGCATAAAATTTACCGAGATCGGAATCTTGTCAGGAGTAGATTGATACTATGATGCAGTTATTAAATGTTTATTATATTAAAAAATCACAAGTATCAAGACGTATTTCCACAATGTTGCCTTCTATAAATGAATATTCACCGATTTACCATCGGATACTAATTTTAATTCAATAATAAAATTCACTATGTTAGTTTTCCTCGGCGTGCAACGTGGTTTCAATCGCCGCTAGATGATCAAGACATTATTAAACTTAATATGTACTGCTTTTTAATGTGGCATGTCCTTACTCGTGTTTTGCGAACACCAATAATTCAGCTAATATTTAATCTTTAATAAAAAGACTCATGAAAGATACAAAGCTCGAGATATTGCTTTAAATACTATTATATTTATCGTTTTTTTTTTGTACTGAATAAAATTCAGCATTATATTAATAGTTATGCTGACAGTACCAATAATAGTCTCATAAAAAAAATAGAGTGTCACTAAAACTTTGACAGCAACAAGAGGATAGGTGATAAACGAATGATTCAAAAATGGACCTCTTACTCGCCCGTTAAAAACTAATATGGGCCAATATCATGCTATACCTAAGTAATAATTACACAAAATCATAACATTTAATTAAATAAGTTTTATTCCTAGGTCCTTGTGTGGCTGGTGTCGTTGGTCTCAAAATGCCTCGCTACTGTCTCTTTGGGGATACAGTGAATACGGCGTCTAGGATGGAATCGAACGGAGAAGCTCTCAAAATACACGTCTCTCCAGACACAAAGGCACTTTTGGACTCTTTTGAAACTTTCCATTTAGAATGTAGAGGAGAAGTTCCGATGAAGGTACAGTAATGCTTTTATATCATATCGTTTTTTAGAAGTAAATGGCAGAGTTGCCAATGTTAAAAATATACTTATTATTAATAAATTTGTCTTTTTTGTGATCACCTTTATTTCGAGTTAGCTGTATGGGCCACAATAGAAAACCAATTGCCTATATATTTAGTATGGCAAACCTAGGTTGACTTCGTAGGTAAAAACTCATGTGTAATCTTTTACCAATACTCTAAGTCATTGAGCAGATAACTGGATTTGTTGTAATGAATTACCGAAGTTAATAAAGAAACATAAAAGTAGCTTTAGATTTTAATGATATTGCTTCACGAGATCTTTGTGTATCTTCCGTGTTTAACTTCGTATTGTTTTTAGATAAAATTAAGATTCTCCTCACGTAGATTACAGTGAACTACAAAAAGCGACATCAATACAGTATTGGCAACCTTATATCATTGCCTTAACGATAATTTTTGAATAACTTTCAGAAAAGCATTTTTTCTATTCTCCATTATTTACGAAGCGGTGTCGAAACCATTATATTCTGATAAATTATTTGAGAATAATTTATGTACCATCTTTTGGATAGTCAAAGTCAAAGTCAAAGTCAAAATAATCTTTATTCAAATAGACTTCTTAAAAGTACTTTTGAATCGTCCAACATTTTTTCCCTACCACTCGTTCAGGACGTCTTTTGGCTGATAAGAAGAACGAGCAAGAAACTCACCAGCTCTAATATGAGTAATGACATTTACAAAAACCATGTCATTACCAGATCAATACATTATAAACAGAGATAAAAAAAAAAAAAACTATGGTCTTATAATAATAACATAATCATTTAATAATAATGGAAACAAGATAATGAGTTTAGAAGTAATCACCTATCCAGTTGCTGGATCATCTCAAGTCCAAGCGTTCTTATCTGTTACATAATCGGATACCTTATAATAAGCTTTTTTAATAAGTATTTTTTTAATAGTAGATTTAAACTGCATGATATCTAATTGTTGTATTTTGCTTGGGACCTTATTGTAGAAGCGCACACAAAGACCCTTGAAAGAGTTATTAACTTTTTGCAGTCTAGTGACAGGCACCGTTAATTTATTTTTATTTCTTGTATTAAAATTGTGTACATCACTTTTTATAGAAAACAAACTAATATTTTTACGAACGTACATTAAGTTCTCGTATATGTATTGAGAAGCAACAGTCATAATGTCTATTTCCTTAAATTTCTCTCTTAAAGAATCCCTAATCCTAAGATTATAAATTGATCGAATTGCTCTTTTCTGAAGCACAAAAATTGTTTGTATGTCGGCAGCATTTCCCCACAATAGGATACCGTATGACATAACACTATGAAAGTAACTGAAGTATACTAATCTGGCAGTATCTATGTCAGTTAACCTACGTATCTTCATTACGGCATATGCTGCAGAGCTAAGTCTACTCGACAATCTATCAATATGTGGGCCCCACTGTAGTTTAGAATCTAATGTTATTCCTAAAAATACTGTGGTATCCACAAGGCCCATGTTCTTATCTTTTACATTAACATTTATATCTACTTTTTTAACATTAGGTAGTACAAATTTTAAGCATTTTGTTTTTCCTTCATTAAGGAGAAGATTATTTACATTAAACCAATGTACTACTTTAGCGATAGAATTGTTCACATCGTCATTTAGAGGTAACCCTCTTTTAATTTTAAACAAGAGTGAAGTGTCATCCGCAAACAAAACTATTTCGTGATCATCCCTTACGAAATAAGGCAAGTCATTTATGTAAATCAAAAACAAGAAAGGACCAAGTATTGAGCCCTGCGGAACGCCCATCTTAATTTTCGATCCAGGGGATCTTTTGCCATTGATATCAACCCTCTGTACTCTGTCAGTCAAGTATGAGACAATAAAATCCAATGAGTTATCTCTAAATCCATTAGATAGAATCCTCTTAAGTGAGTTCTGTTAAATTGTTACAGGGTAAAGGAATTCTAGTCACATATTGGTTGTTAGGAGAAAAAGGAGATCCAAACGCACAAAAAGATAAACCATCACTAATAAAATCACAAACTCAATCGAGTGAGAGTGGATCCCTATCACATCTTACTCCATTCAGAAACAGAAAAGATCAAGGTTCAAGATCTTCAAGTAGAAGGGGGTCGGGAGTTCTTACACAAAAAGGTAATGATTTAATCAAACTAGAAAAAGAAGCCCAACCACTTTTGCAAAATATTAAAATTCAAAGACAACATTCTGATCCAACAGAGCCTGTCATAAACGGAGTTACAGATAGTGAAGATTTAGATAAAGTCAATTTCTCAAATCCTATTTCACTCAATGTCAACTCTCTTAGCCACAACTCTGTTAGTCATGGACAGCCAAGAGTGAAACTAAAGGATTGTCAAATGAACACAGTTGGTAATCACAATAAAGCAGGCAATAACAACTGGATCGCCAAGATGCCTACAGCGAGCTCTTTTGACAACGGCTGTAAGAAAAATAATGAGCATTTAAAAGACTACAGTAGTGTACCGCTGCTTTCCAAATCAGAAACGTTGAATGATTCAATTGTGTAAGGTAAATTATCAGTCATTCAATTTGTAATATCAATTTTATTTATAAATGAAACAAAATAAATCAACATTCTGGTAGATAACACACATTCAATTGTCAATAACAACATTGTCAATTTTCATCACTGTATAACTTTAGTGCAACTATAAAAGAATTTGGATTGTTTGCAAAAACTAAATTTAGCGGTAACTTTGCACGCTCGTGTATGTATAAAAGTATTATATAGAAACACAATAGCAATCTTCAATAACAAAAGTTTATAAGTTTGCATTGAGCCATTTATGAACGAATTATCTTGAATGTTCGTTGTATTTTAATGTGTGTTAAAATAAGGCTCAATTTAGCAGAACAGTGGTCTAAGAGAGAATAATAAATTAATATATGTATATTAAATAATGTAATCAATAGTAGATGTCTGTTTGCTAAAAAATCACATGGCTTAAATTAATATAGTTGTTGTAAAGTTACATGCACATCACACGATGTTAGTACCCCGATCTCTACTTTGGCTCTCAACAATAGACTCATGCTCATATTTACACTTTCTCACTTTCGACCGGAGAAAAGTGCAGATGAAATCTTTCACGAATTCGTCATACTCGTATGCTGATACGTCGCTTAACTATTTGACTCTGATTAGGTTAATATTGGATTCAATCAAAATGCACTCAATATATGGTAGTATATGATAAAACAATAAATAATGTCATACTAATACTATCTCATAAGATACAGTTTCTAAATTCAATACAATAAAATATTTGAACGGCAAGTGGAATTTGATATAAGCCAATGTTAAAGAAAAATTATGAAAGTAGTTAAACGATATATATACCTATATATATATATCTATACCTGATGCTATATACTATACGAACGAGTACACATTTCAGGATGACGTTCTACTATTTGAGTTGAATAGTCTATACGTATTCTTAAGGAACATAGTATAAACTGACACCAATACTATACTTATAACTGTCACAAGTTCATCTTAGATGCAAATAGCACCTGTCGACTTTTTTAATGCAAAACTCAATCAAAATACTCTCTTTTTTCAATTAGAAGATCCTACCCAGATTATGTATCCTAAGATTTTCGAGCAATATTTTGATGGAACAGTATTTAAGAAAAAAAATAACAGTGTAATAATGGATCTTTATAAATTGTTCAAGGAAAACAAGGCGATATTTTCATACAATTTAATCTTTAAGCAGAATCAATGAGCAGCTCTACCCTGTTATCAGGTTATTTTGATTAAATTTACGAGTGAGTAGAGTATAAAATTATTTACAATATGTATTCTTTTGTGTTATATGGATGACTATCGTTTGAAGTGCACATAACTATATTTTGTTTTATAGAGCAAACGAAAAATGGACAATACACATATATTACGTAAGTGTCGAAAGAGACCGATACGTATCGTTTCTTTTTGGACTTCTATCGTTTCCGCGTAATATCACGCTTTGTTGTATGGTACGCTATAGGTTACTAACCCCACCCCGTACTAAAATAGGCAGTTTTTTAATGTTTAAAGATCTATGGGGAGCGATACGTATTAATTCTACGCCCACATAATACTTTGTATCATGATCGAGTTTCTATATGAATAAGTTATTGACTTCTTTGTGTCATAAAATAATAAATGCCATATAAGTATGAACTATCTAATTTATAGCCTCTTTAGATGAATCTATCATTAGAATTGATTATTCATATAACAGAAAATTATGTTAATATTAAACTTTGCACAAATCTCTCAAATAATTAGTTTGATTTAAAATTCTACGTTGCGTTATAAGAAAAAGAACGTTATTTTAATAATTATATGGCATTTCTTTTGTTTCATTAGTGAAACTCTTACATTCCCGAGCTTTTAGTAATGAGTGTTCTCTGCTACAAATGTGATAATCTTGTAAGCACATTGTTAATCTTCTTTAAGTTTTGTGAACACCAAATTTTATCGGAGAAACTATTTAGTACAGATTCATTGTTGTTAAATCATGCTTACAGCTATAATTATTTAGTTAATAAAAGTAGTTTTGGTCAGTTCAGATTACAACAAAAAGCCAAATATCTGCAATCAATTTTAAAATCACATTAAAAATCATTAATCTTTGTAAATATCTTCTATCACAATACTAAACTATAAGAAAAAGTTTGTGTACTGATTACAATTTTTTATGTTGGTACCATTAAGTAAGAACAATGGGTTTTTTAATATTTCAAAAGAAGAATTAATTGAAAGGTCAACTACTAGGATAGAAAGTCTCAATAGTTCAACCGTTGAACTAATCAGCTTAACTGGTGAGAGAAGGCAGCAGGCTCCTTGCCGTTCCTCCCCCTTAGGGTATTTGCAGCTGGTTTTACCAGGTAGTCCGGCCTCGTTTAAGCCTGTTCTTTTCAAGACGAGGTCGCAGAGTCTTGGTTAATGGAACGGTTGTATTTCACCTACGTTAAAAAAAAGAAAGGTTAACTAGAGGGAATAAATGCAGATATGACCAACCCTTACTCTCAGCAGATTATAACTTAAAATAGATTGCAGATCTTTTTTTTTTAAAGTAATATGACATGTTTTCGACAAAAAAAAATGAATAAGCAAAATTCGTACAGTTGATACTGTACTTAATACATAATTCACACCGTAACTTACTCGTAGTAAGCTTATGATAAAAGAAGAGAGGAAAAAATATCGTATATAATTTGGGTCGGTAATATCAATATGGACAATAGAACTATTACAACCTATTTATCAGATTCGGATGAGTGAAAAAAATATAGTGAATATTTACTCTATATTTATAATGTACGTAGAGTTTGATTCGGAAATGCTAATCTGTCGCACTATTGCAATACATTCTGTTCCGAATCATGAATTTATGTACTTAAATGTTAGATTGTACTTAACAATAAAAAAATTACTGAATATCAGCATTAATGAAGAGGTTATAGATAACATACTTTTTTATTAAAACGCAAAGGGGTATGGCCTATGCACGTAAATCTGTGGTATTTTTTTCATTATAACTATTCATTTTTCTGTTCTGTTGTGTTTACGTTCTAGAAAATTTTGGAGCTAATACACAGAAAACCATTATTTGTTCCCGTTCCCGCGCTAAATCACAGAAAGTTTTTGTTTCTGTCTCTGTCTGTCGTTTCATATGATTACGGCGGAAAAGTCGTGAGATATTATAAAAAAGAAAAACGTCTGTACGTCTGTTTAAATTTCCAACGCGTACATAAATTTCGCGTTGGATATATTCCCTCGATCAATGCTATACCTTTTTATTGATTTGTTTTAGTATGTCTCGTAATACAACAATAATTATATAAATCAATCCTCATCACAAAAAAAAAATTGTAACACGTGTACTTCAAACGAATGTTCGTAACATATGTATACCAAGAACAGTTTTTCACCATTAAATGTATTTTTAAAGAATCTTGAAAAGGTTTAATAGATATTAAACCTTAAATTAAACTCGAAAATTAGTTAATCCGTTAGTCATTTGTTTTGGACCACTTATACTCCTTTAACTTTATCTCCCTCAGATAATCATAACACAAACAGATACGTAGTTGTTATTATAAATCTGAATTTGTTGTTGTTGATATTCAGTATAAAATAATTTATTCTTCAGTGATGAGACTAGGCTGTAAATATAATTTGTTTATTTATAATTGTAAATATTAATGAAAAGTTGTTGTGATCTTAGTTTAAAAGGTATTTTGAAATCTGTATTTATAATTTATGTAGATGTTTATGAGATCATTTAAATGTTTTAAAGACGTTGTAATAAATATAATGAGTGAGAACTAATTTAATTGTTTCATTTCGTTTGCAATTCATGATCGAAATTATTACAGATGGTGACTAAAGTGCAACAGTCTATCCTAGTATAATATCGTTGTGAAACAGTTCTTTATCTTACCTACTAACTAATACCAATGCAACATCTTAATGTGCCTTCCGATGTACGAAGTAGCTCGAGATACGAATAGTAAATTTTCGTCACCATTCCTATGACCAGTATGCAAAAGTTCCCTAACACACACATCGCAAACCAAGCTTTTCAATGTTTGACAAACCTTGTTACCTAAGGATAAGGAAAAAAATTGTATAATCACCATCAAATACGCCTTGTCATTTTCATGTTCGTGATCAAAGGAAATCGCTTTCGCTTAGAGTCATCATCATCATCATCAGCCCTTTTACGTCCCCACTGCAGGGGCTCAGGCCTTCCTTATGGGTGGTTTAGGAGGATAGGCCATGACCCTCCACTCTGGCCCAATGCGGATTGGAGGGTATTAACTACTGCAAATGCAGCCGGGACCAACGGCTTAACGTGCCTTCCGAAGCACGGATGATATTTTTTTGGTCACCCATCCCGTGACCGACCCTTGCAAAAGTTGCTTATCGACAACGACTGCGGGCCGCGGTGCTTATACCACTACACCACCGAGCTACTCGCTTAGAGTAGAGTACATAAATATTAACAAAAAAAAAACTCTTGCTTACATTTCAAATTTGTCCATAAATCTAATAAGCATTCAATTTACATCACGGCGAAAAAAATTAGTAGCGAATATTTTGCGTATTATCACCAGTGTCCTCATTTATATTATCTCATTAGTGACAACCACTAGTTAGTTCTGGTTCGTAGTAGATTTTTGGTTCGCAGAGCACTCAATACCGAACTGTTCCTATAGTTACAAACAATTTCTCGTTTTCTTATACCACTGTCATCATTTGCCCTTTTTCGTTCCACTACAGGGCCATATCGGAAGAATTTTTTTTATGATTTTTGTTTTTGAAACTCAAATTTACCCCTTTAGGGGTTCTTGTTTATTCAAGTCAATCGACCTAGATGCTAGAGAGTAATTTGACCCTTTCAACAAGTTTTACAAACATCCATTAACATTATAAGTACTTTAAAAGGAGATTATCGATACTCAAATTTAGATCAATTATTAGAGCTTAGTCGATATCAAACATAGA